TGATATATTTATTTTGTTGTTGGCCCGTGAGAAAAGATTTAACCTACAGTAAACAGGAACTGGAAAGGCTGCAGATAGATAAATAGAATAGAAAATCCCTTTATTGTTCCTCAGTGGGGAAAGCTAGATGTCACAGCAGCGATGACACGTATTACAGGAGAAAAAAAAGGAGAAAAAAATAAGAAAAATGAATAAACAACAAGAAAACATAAATCCTGAATAGATTTTAAAAATGCTGAATGTACCACAAGTAATGAATACCACTGATGACTTGCTCGTGTGTAATTTGGTTATTCCACATTCAGTGTTAATGCAAAAGTAACACCAATCTGGTGATTCGATATGTCACAATACACAGGAGATGATACAATTTATCATGATCTAAAAGCCAGACGCTATTTGCAATTTTAATACAGAATTAAACTTCCAAGACACATCCAGTGTTATCGCGAGATCTGGTTGTTCCGTCAGAATGAAGGTGGTGAAAACTGCTGCCACCAGGCTGCTGAAGTTTGAATTGCACCACATAAAAGAGATACAGCAAATGTTTGCATGTCAATTTTCAATAAAAATTGATGCTCTGCTTGTAAATATTGATTCAGTATCATAACATGAAATATGACATTTCAGTGTATCGATATTTTCTTACATCCCTATTTTTTACACAACAGATATTTAAGACTCTCTCTCTATTGAGAATTAGCCCGTGTTTGTGCCTGTACCTTGAATGGTGTTTAGGGTTACCAAGGTAACACTAATGAGCCACTGGCATAGCTTCAACATCTTGTTTTGATCCTGGTAATGAAAGTTATGAAAGGCGTCATTTAAACAAGAAAGCTGTTATGTACAAACACACCCATTTCAGCCATGTTTAACTTCAATGTACAATCTACTTTGTATTGTTACCATCAAGCCAAGGAAAATTTAAATTTCATTGAACCCTAACCCTTAAACCAAGGAACCAACACCCTGTCTGTTTTTAATTCCTCCTCACATTTCCTCTTTGACCCCCCCCCCCCCCTCCAGCCATTGCTGGATGTACCACAGATGTATGATGGGAAGGAAATGGAGATAAAGGCAGAAAACCAGATTAATGGCTGAATGAGGGAGAAGTTGGGTGAGAAGATGGGATACAGAATGAGCAGGAATGAAGCAAAAGGCTGTGCTTCAACAGGCTTCCTTTGTCCTCCCTCCTTTTAAAAGACATAAAGAAATATTCAACCGAAGGGTGTGGGTGAGCTGATTAATTGCCAATTAATGTTTAACAAGGTACAGCTGTGTTCAATTAACACTGGTTTAGACCTCCATCTCTTCTAGCACCCATCCCCCTGAAATATTAAACCCTCACCTTCTCTTCCTGCTCAACTCCTCACAACTTTTACTCAAGAGGAGACCATCAGAAGCTGGAATCAGGATTAGAAACATTTAAATTAGATCCTATAAAAAGTAACTGGAGTTAAGTTTTCAGAGAAATGTGCAACGCCTGCAGGTTAAGAAGTGACGAAAATGCAACACTTGAATAAAAATGTCACCCACCAGAATGGTTGTGAAGCCAGTGGAAATTAAACTGTAAAACCTCATTTGCTCCTAACACCAGTACCAGGATTTTAAAAGAGAGAGGCCCAGCTTTATTTCCTCATCTCTTCCCTTTGTTAGCTTCAAACTGAGCTGATCCTCTACTCCGGTTCATGAAGCCCGTAGAAAACAGGAAAGGACTCACAAAGTTGAAGCTGAAAGAAAACAGCGCCTCCAGTGGCTGGCTGCAGTATACAAATAGAACATCTGCCTGCTTAGGAAGCCAAAGCTAAGGGGACTGTTCTGGGTCGTGCTGTCCACAATATGAAATATATATTTGTCACTATAGCGCGTTAAATTATGACATCACTAATTAATCAAAAACACCCGCAAAAGTTTCTTTAAATGGTCTGAAAGTACAACTCTCTGAGCGTTCAAGGCATTTTGATGGTTTCTAACCACTAATCACAAATAAACATGAGAAAAAGAAGTTCCAAAGCACACAACAGCAAGGTAAGAACCAGTACTGCCTGGAAAATATTGTTAGAGGTCTATTTGTTTTTTAAGTCGAGACAAAATCTCATTTATTTACATCAATGGTGTCCAACCTTGGTCCTCAAGGGCCCCAAACCAGCATGTTCAGTTGTTTCCTGCCTCAACACAGCTGATTCAATCACCTGTTCAGCAAGGGCCTCATTTATCAAGCTTGCTTACGCACAAAACGGGGTCAGAAAACTGCATAAGCAACTTTTCACGCAAACTTTGGGATTTATGAAAGAAAACTTAGCGGAAAAATGTGCGCAACTTTAAGTTGACTAAGGAGCTGGTTTACGCATATTTTGGACATGGGAGAGCACCTGCAGTGCTGCTGCTGAGAAGGATAAAATTATGAAATCCTGCAGCATTATCACTTGTACTGCTTCATACACACACAGAACAAGACCCCCCCCCCCCCCACACACACACACACACAGCCTGAAGCGCAGAATACGGTATGCAGAATATCAGCAGGGGACAGATTGAGACAGAATGTCATGCGTCTGTAACAGTGTGTGTCCCGTCACAGTGATCCGATTGATCATGCGCCCTGGCTACTTGTACAAGGGAGATCTCCATTTGGGTGACCGGTTAGCGCATGTGACTTTCACCTTGGAGTCTGGGGTTCGAATCCCGATTGGACCATTTTTTTAATATCCTCCACAGATCTCTGAAAAATTCACAACATTGACGGCTTCAGCAACACTGTGCCACTCCATGGATTTTCTCTTATTTGTTTTGCAAAAGCACTTCCTTTCATTTCTCCACCTTACCCCCCGGGTACTTCAACTTCTGCTTCTGTGAGATAGCGCTTCCTTGATCTGCGGTCGTGATCAAAGTGTTGCAACAAGCTGGCTCATGTATATGCATGAGATCCACAAGGCGCTTTGCATCGACTATTTATGGCAGAAAGTGGGCGTTATCTATAGTTGTCTTTGAAACTGTCTCCACACGCAACTGGACAGCGTAGGACCAATCAGAGTAATGGACAACGTGATATTTTCATCGCTTTGGAAATCGGTCAAACGGGCACTTTACCGTACACTTCTGAAAAGGAAGAAGCAATAAAGAGCTTAAGTACCTCTATCTGCTCATGTCTCAATAGGCGTTTTTACAACACAATGCCGTCAATTTGCCACAACACCGTGGAGGCATCAGGAAGCTTTAGGTTGTTTATAAGTGGTCTGACTGTGGCAATCAAGTGGCGCAATCATGTCCTTTTTATAAATCATTAGGCGATGGCGCCATAAAGGGGGTATGGGGGTGGTCCCTTCGCTGATGCGGACTTCAGTTTATCTTGGACATAACTTGCATTTCATGCGATCGAAGCCTCGATTGTTATGTTTTTTTAACAAGTCGCTCCTAAAGGCGTTTTTAAGACACCACTGCAATAATATTGCGCTGATTTCCTGGCATGGTGTGTCTTGTAAAAAGGTTTATGAAGAGCCCAAGTCTAAAAACCTCAAAATTAATGGCAAAGCCATTTCAAACGACCGCTGTTCCTGAGAAGACGCCATCTTTGTAGTTTTCCTCCATTGTAGCTTGGTGCTAAGCCTGGCCGGCATCTCTCTACAAACACAGAGTACTGTGACTGGCCCGACCTAAAACTGCACAGGCCATCAGTAGACCTGCTGAGGTTACAATGGAGTGTGGCTGTAACAACCTGCAGAGCTAAATCTTGTGCTACTGCTTCGGTTGGTCTAGATTTCTAGACTAGCGAGTTCAGGAACCGCCCACTAGGACCACTTCAACTTCCGAGGTAAATTGCTACCTTTATACTTCAATGTTCCTAACAAAAGGATCTGTTTAATCTGTGCCGCACATGTAACACACATCATCATAGCTCAGCGACTTCTATGTGAAGACAGTTTATCTAGGAGTAGACCAACGACATCACTATGAGCTCCCACTGAATGAAGGAAGCACCAGATGAGGACCACAAACCACAAAAATGGAAGTATCTAAAAAAAAAAAGAAGCGTGAATCGGTCTCCAACCGCCCTAAAACACCCATCTCCGCCCTCTCCCTTCTTCCCTAACAGACTTGAGGAGCCCCCAACCCCTCGGCGTGATCACACAGATGGGTAATATTGAGTGGTAGCAGCACAGGGTGAAATGGGATTTGTCCAAAATAAATTCATCTCACACCGCTGGTCAACTCTCTGTCACCGAGACATTTTAATTCTCCAACATGCCTCGGTTTGCCCTTTTCTCTCTGCGAACAAAGACCCTCTAAAATCCTCTTTTTTTTATTCTTCCCTTCATTCATCTGATTAAACGTCTGTGTGGATTTTCTCGCTCTGTCTCACTCCCTCTAAGGCACATATTTTCTTACGGTGTGAGTAGAAAATCCAGTCACACTCGTGATTTAAGCAGAAAACGAGGAGCAACAATGAATGTAAAGTATTGCATCTGTCTGGCGTGTGTGTGTGACTGTCGGTGTGTTTGTATGATTTTTTTTTTGGTTTTCATTACAACCTGATACCTCCACCCATATGCTCACAAAGGAGAGTGGGACAGAAGAAGGGAGGAGAGGTGGAAGAGTTGGCTGTCACTCTTCACACACACCCCTCCTCTTCCTCTTTATCTGCTCTCCTTCTTTGTCTCCTCTCTCCTCCTTTCATCTTTAGATCCAGGCAGAATGGAGCTCAGCTTCCTCTCAAAGCCCAGCAGGTGTGTGGTGTGTCTAATTGTATGTAAGTGTGTGTTTGAGTGTGAAAAATGTGCTTTAAAGTCTGGTGTTGCGAGTGTTAGTCAGATGTGTATGTGTGTTAAATGTGAGTGTGAGTCAGATGTGAGGGTATTGGAGATATCTTGTTTCCTCGAGGGAGTCCAGGCCCATTTCCACTGTCTGCTGTAGCCAACTAACCCAGCAGTGCATCGATAATCTATTAGAGTTCAAACACACACATGCACGGACACACACAAATATCAGCTTGTTCCTCTTACCTGCTGCTAGTGAACACACACCTAGTGTGAACAGGCTCGTGAGTGGGTGGGCCGATGCTTGACCTGAAAAATCAACCATGACATGAATATTAGAAGTGACAGGAAATTTATCAGCGTGATTAGCTGAGACAGATCATAGAGTACAGCAGATATTCTTTACACACACACACAACACACACACAACACACACACACACACACACACATGGTCAAGTCAAATCCATTACACATTAAGCATATCATTAGAGGTTTCTCTAGCAAATGACTGCACTTCTGGTTCAGCCTAGGATCAGTTCGTCTTTGTTTCACCAGCTGTTGGCCTAAAATCTACCTGAACCAAAAGAGACTAAGTAAACACTTGAGCTGTGAAAAAAAGAAACTCTGTACATCAATGAGAGCACCACTTTTTCCTGCCTCTCATGCCGCCAGCTGACATTAAACTCAAAGGCAAATGTCACATGTAAATGCTCCTCTGTGTGGTGCATCCAGCATCCTTCAGCTACCAGGTTTAAATCATGATGACCAACTGAAAGGGTAATTTAACCATTTAATCAGGTGTTTTGGGGCACAGAAACAACTAAAACTTGGTAGGTAGGGGCTGAAGAGGACCAGGGTTGGACACCAATGGTTTAAAGTCACTAACTGGTTTTTGTAGCCTAGAAATCTAGACCAACCGTAGCAGTACCAAAACATTATCCTCTGCATGTCTGTCTAGCCACGTTCTATTGTAGCCGCAGCAGGTTTACCATTGGCCTGATCAGTTGTGTGTCTTGTGTCGCGGCGTTCTACGTTTGTTGAGCACGCTTAACACCAGAGCTGCCAAGGAGAAAACCTTGGTTGTAACGGGTGGTTATTTGTGTTACTGTTGCCTTTCTATCAGCTCCAACTAGTCTGGTCATTCTCCTCTGACCATCAACAAGACATTTTCACCCACAGAACTGCTGCTCACTGGATGTTTTCTCTTTTTTGGACCATTCTCTGTAAACTCTAGAGATGACTGTGTGTGACAATTCCAGAAAATCAGCTGTTTCTGAAACACTCAGACCAGTCTGTCTGGCACCAACAAACATACCACATTCAAAGTCACTTAAACCACCTTTCTTCCCCATTCTGAAGGTTGGTTTGAACTGCAGTGGATCGACTTGACCATGTCAACACACCTAAATCATTTAATTGCCACCATGTGATTAGCTGATTTGTCATTTTTGTTGGACAATAAAGTGGTCAGAGAGTGCACGTTTGTTATTAAAAGACAGCAATCTTGACTTGTTTTAATTGAAAATTAACATTTAGACACTTAAAACATGTCATATTTCAAATAGAATTTAATGTTTTCTAATTGCTACCTTTAATATCAGTTTATATACAGTCATTCCAGCATTCCCTTAAGTCCCAGCTGAGTGAGAGTTAAGTCACAAGGTCCTATAGGCCTAGACCAAGTCCAAATCCAAAAAAGATTCTTCCAGTCCAAGCAACATCCAACTTCAACTGCCACTGTTTAAAATTGCGCTAAGAAAAGCAAGTGAAATCAATGTCGGAATAAGCACCTAGCCAGTGCTAATGTTCGCCTATTATATTAGGTCAGATTATTGGTCAAATTTAATTTCCATGATTTCCGAAAGCCTGACATGTTGATTATTGTTTTCAAAATTATTTTAAGCGTGTTGTATTTTTTTAACCACATGCTACTGTATTAGGTTGATAAGGTGACATTGGGTAGATTTGATTCTGCACTTTCACGACTTTTAGGAACAATCTAATAGGTCTAGAATAGGTCAAGCCGTGGCATGCCTAGGGGTGGGTACCGAATTCAGTACTTTTTCAGGCACCGACCGAATTCCATAGTACCGACTGAGTACTGATTCACATCATATGAAATATTTTGATTCAAATATCAAAGGTACCTCAGACTGTGTTAGTTCTCGGTGCTCTTTCCGGTGCTCTGTGCTTTTTAACTCAAGTCAGATCCAACTCGAAGCCCTTCTGGACCCCCAACTGTTGGCTGAATGGAGGATTCCCGCCAACCGGTTGGCCACTCCTCTCTCAGTCTCCTCTCTGGACAACCAAAACCTCTCCACCATCACCCACCAGACTGTTCCCCTCCGTCTTATGGTGTCAGGTAACTACACTGAGTCCATGGTTTTTTACGTGTTCCCTTCTCCTCAGTCGCTGTTGGCGCTTGGTCATTCCTGGTTGGTTCGCCACAAACCCATACTAGACTGGAGGGAAAACAAGATCATAGGTTGGAGTCCGGAGTGCTCCCAATGATGTCTACGTTCTGCCTTTCCGACCACCTGTGGGATCAACAACCCCACCAACGGGAGAACATAGACCTCTCTGCTGTGCCTCCTGCTTACCATGACCTTAAGCAAGTATTTAGCAAAGACCGTGCATCTTCTTTACCACCTCACAGGCCCTTCGACTGTGCTATTGATCTGCTACCAGGAGCCCATCTACCGTCTAGCAGTCTTTATCACCTCTCCAAGCCTGAGAGAGAAAGCATGGAGCATTACATTCAAGATTGTCTAGCCGCTGGAACCATACGACCGTCCTCGTCTCCTCTGGGAGCGGGGTTCTTCTTCGTACCCAAGAAAGAGGGGTCACTCAGGCCCTGCATCAATTATAGAGGTTTGAACCAGATCACCGTAAAAAATAAGTATCCTCTGCTGTTACTTTCCTCCACTTTTGAGCCTATTCAGGACGCCTCCATATTCAGTCGGTTGGACCTAAGGAGCGCCTATCATCCGGTGAGAATAAGAGAGGGAGATGAGTGGAAGACGGCGTTCAAGACAACCCTTGGCCATTTCGAGTACCTGGTAATGCCATTTGGGTTAACGAATGCCCCCGCAGTGTTTCAGTCACTAGTGAACTCAGTGTTGGGTGATTACATCAACAAGTTTGTAACTGTGTACTTAGACGACATACTGATTTTCTCTAAGACCAAGGAACAGCACACCCATCATGTGAGGGCTGTGTTACAGCGCCTACTAAAGGACAGACTGTACGTCAAGGCTGAGAAGTGTGAGTTTCATGTCCCCACTGTGAAATTCTTGGGGTTCATCATTGAGAGTGGGCGGTTGATGGCTGATCCTGAAAAGGTGCAAGCAGTCACGGAATGGCCCACGCCTTCCACACGAAAGCAGTTACAGAGGTTCCTGGGGTTTGCTCATTTTTATCAGGTTCATCAGGAACTACAGCCAGACAGCAGTGCCACTAACCAACCTAACCTCTGTGAACAAACCCTTTTTGTGGTCCCCAGATGCAGAAGCAGCTTTCCAGACTCTGAAGAAGAAGTTTACAAACGCTCCCGTGCTTCACCGACCTGACCCACTACATCAGTTCACCCTAGAGGTGGATGTCTCGGACACTGGGGTGGGAGCTGTGCTGTCTCAGATCTTGGTAACGGATCAATGCCTCCACCCATGTACCTTTGTTTCACATTGTTTGACCCCTGCATAGAGCAGATACAACGTGGGGGACCGTGAACTGCTGGCTGTTAAGCTGGCCATCGAGGAGTGGAGACATTGGCTGGAGGGAGCTGAGAGACCATTCAACATTTGGACAGACCATAAGAACCTGGTTTACCTAAGAGAAGCAAAACGGCTATATCCACGCCAATACAGGTGGTCCCTTTTCTTTTCCCGTTTTAACTTCCAAATCTCCTATCGCCCAGGTTCTAAGAACACCAAGCCAGACTCTCTCTCCCGACAGTATGCTCCTGATCTGGACTCAGAACCCTCCACAATCCTACCCCCGGCAAGTGTTATCGGAGGGGTTACCTGGGAAGTCAGGGACCAAGTGCTGGAAGCCCTCAAGAAGGACCCCGGTCCTAGAAACTGTCCTCCAGGAAGATTGTACGTACCTCCGTCAATGAGGAGCAAGGTAATCCACTGGGCTCATACCGGCATGTTCGCCTTACACCCAGGAGTGGGTCGTACTGTGGCCCTCATCAGACGGTCCTTTTGGTGGCCGTCTATCTATAGAGACATTAAGATTTATGTTTCATGCTGTCACATCTGCTCCCAGCAGAAGGGAGATCATTGTGCTCCAGCAGGTTTGTTACACCCTCTACCCATTCCCTCTCGCCCCTGGTCTCACATCGCCCTAGACTTTGTTTGTGGGTTAGCTAATTCTCACGGCTTCACCACCATACTCACCATAGTAGACCGTTTCTCTAAGGCTTGTCACCTGGTTCCCTTAAAATCTCTTCCCTCCTCCTCAGTCACAGCACAACTTCTTATAAAACAAGTTTTTCGCCTGCATGGAATCCCTGAGGAGATCTTATCAGATCGAGGCCCGCAGTTCGTTTCCAGAGTCTGGAAGGAGTTCGCAGAGACTCTAGGGGCCCAGGTGGCGCTCACCTCCGGTCATCATCCTCAGACAAATGGACAGTGCGAGCACATGAACCAGGAACCGGGGGCTATGCTGTGCTGCGTCTGTTCTTCTCACCCTTCCTCCTGGAGTACCCATCTACCATGGGTGGAGTACGCACATAACAGCCACGTATCCTCTGCTACAGGTCAGTCTCCTTTTGAATCCTCCCTCCGTTACCAACCTTCACTCTTTCCCCAGCAGTCATCAGTCTACTCCTCCATTCTGCAATTTCTCCGCGGTGCCAGACGCAACTGGTCCACCACCAGGGCGGCGTTGGACCGTACTGCCCACAAAAACAAACTTTTGGCAGACCGGCGGTGACCGGCTCCAGATTACGCTCCTGGGCAAAGTGTTTGGTTGTCCTCTAAGGACATCCCTCTTAAAGCCACCACCCGCAAGTTATCCCCACGATTCATTGGTTCCTTTAGGATCCTAGACGTCCCTACTCTTTCCACTGTTCGTTTGGACCTTCCCCGCTACCTTCGTGTGCATCCTGTTTTTCATGTATCCTTGGTCAAGCCCTTGGTCTCTAGTCCCCTCTGTCCTGCACCTGCACCCCCTCCTCCGGCTTGCCTGTACAAGGGTCGGCTGGTGTATACTGTTAACAGGATACTGAACTCACGTCGTTGTGGTCGTGGTATCCAGTACCTAGTGGATTGGGAGGGGTACGGTCCTGAGGAACAGTCCTGG